CATACACACACACACACACACACACACACACACACACACACACACACACACACACACACATATATATATATATATATATATATATATATATATATATATATATATGTATATATGTATATGTATATATATATATGTATATATATATATATATATATATATATATATATATATATATATACGTATATGCGTACCTAAGCTTTGAGTCTCCTTTTTTATTCTGGTTTTCTTCAACTCCTATTGATTTACCAGGGTATACGTATTTTTATGTTTTTATTTTTTTCCCGGACATAGCTGGAGGCTAAGAATCCCGTGCCAGTTTGCCAATCCACCTGTCATAAAAAAAAATCATGAATTAATCAACTATGACTCTCACTTACTATATCAACACATAATAGTTAAAAATCAACTCTTTTGGAAATTTTGCAAACATATAATGTAAACAAGCTGATAAATGTTTTCATGGAAGTTATTCATACAGCTATCGACCCCTTTGTTGCAAAAAATGTTAGACGTCCTCCGGAAGTGGCACTCATAAAGCTCCAAAAATAAGGGATTCGACATGGCACTCCAGGCTGAGTATAAACAAAAGAATAGAAGTGGTAAGTCACAAGGAACCAATCATGATTAATTTAGAAATAAATTAATTGTAAAATAAAAAACTCTGCTACAACAAAAACAACAGCAACAACAAAATAGCACAGAAGTATTCATCTAAATTACAGAATTAGTGCGAATGATTTTAATGATTTCTTTGCTGTTGGAAATCTCACATATGAACAAACAATAACTTCCGCACCTCAGCAAAATACAGGTAAGATAAGGCCCCAGCCAATATTTTCAGACCACAACCTGTAAAAATAGAAAGAATAATTCTTACTATAAAACACCTGCTTAAAACTAATGCTGTGGGAGCGGATAACATTGCTTTCGCTTTATGAGAGACAGTCTACCAGCAATGGTACATTATTTAACTGGTATCATTAACACATGTGTATTTACCAGTGACTTCCCATCACTTTGGAAACATAACGTCATAACATCCGTTTTCAAATCCAGAGACACAGACGAAGTTGAGAACTATCGCCCTATTACCATGCTCCCTATGCTATCTAAAGCTACTGAAAAAAAAATCGTAGCAGACCAATTGACAATATTTCTGGAGACAAAGGACCTCTTGTCCAAAACACAACATGGTGTCAGAAGTAAGCTGTCTACTGAGATAGCATTATCACAGACTATGAATAAAATTTATGAGAATATAGACAACTAAATAAAATGATAAATACTGGTTCTGAGGTTATCTAAGTAACAAAACTCAATCAGTCAAAATTCACGAGGATGTACCAATATAACAAATGGAATCTTACGATATTCCACAATATTAGGCCTAATCCTGTTCACAGTCTTCGAAAATGATCTATCACTCGTAGCTCAAAATTGCCTTCTTGTTCAGTTACACCGATGACTCACAATATCTCCCAAGTGATTCTGGAAATAACTTGGATGGATTCATAAAAAGAGCCAAGAGACACTGGCACAAATAAAAGGATACTTTGACACAAAAGTCCTCAAGATAAATCCAAATAAAACACAATGCATATTCATAGGTAGTGCTAAACACTAGCATTACATCTGGAGACTTACATAACACCGTCCGTAAGTGTACACATTGATAGATTCATGACATTTGAGAACCATGTCGACAATATCCATATAAAAGTAATGGGCACATTAATCTACCTAACCCATATAAAAATAGAATCCCTGCTGAAATTAGGATATTCGTTACATAAACACTAGTTCTCAGTATAATTTACTATTGTTCAAACATATGGGGTACAACAAATATCGGTCATATTCAGAAAATAAAAAAAATGACTAACTTTTGCTGCGAGAATAGAACTTGATAACTTAAATAAATAGGAACACATTACCCCTCACATAAACAAACTTATTTGGCTAAAAGTACAAATGCAACTACGATATTTTCATGCTAATTCATTAAATAATTCAACCTCTTTACCCAAAATAGCTATTAACCCATCCAACCACCGGTGACACAACCTGTTTCCAAACAAGACAGGTAAACTCTCTCTATGCCAAAATATCACGCACAGACGTAAGGGCACGTTGGGCCATGATCTGGAACCAACGACCTTATTATATAAGAAACATTAAAAAAAAAATAAAAAATACAGGGACATGTCAGAAATTATTAATAACATCAGGTTTCAAAATATAAGGAGCAAGACTTACCAGTAGCAATAAATTCTGTGTATCTTGTATTTATATGTACTGTAAAATCGCTTCGTATGTAATACGAGTAACCATTGTAACAAATAGAATAAAGGATTTTGAATCTGAATTTGAATTAGTGGTAACATTTATTTTGTGAAACGTAATGTGATTTTAGTCCTGTAGCATGTATTGATTTATTTATCTACTTGCTTTATTAATGTTTTTTTCCTATCAATATAAATACATGTTTTATTCAATAATTGATTGATTTAATGATTATTTAAAATTAATTGCCGCGTTAATAGCTAAGGTTATTAGCGGCGAATATCTTACTGACTTAAAGTCTGACAATATTTAAAACGTTAAATATCTATTAGTACATGTCTCATTAATAAGGATAAACTACATTAGATTAAAAATCAAACATTAGATTAAAAATCAGAGCATAGACATCATGATTTAAATGTATTGAATTAAATTTCATAATCAATATTAGTCTCCCTTAGGAAACTAATAAGACTTCCTATGTCACAATCCTCCCCCAATACATTCTTCAGTGTATATTGGGGAGACAAGTACATATATCTTTGGTCTGAGAATGTTGCATATCTTTCTACCTGTGCGATTGGCAATGGCTCTTGGCATCCCTCACAGCGTGCTTCACTTTTAGCCATCATCGGCCCATGAGTCAGTCTTGTGTACCCGATTCTTAGTTTTGTTAACACTTCTACTTGTCGGTTATTATGGACACAACTGTCAAGGTTATCTCTAATCTCTCATAGGTTATTGCTAGAGGTAAGCCTCCATTGCTCCCTTCATGTATCGCTAGGACAACTTCTGATGCTGCGTTTCAAGTCTGTGTGTGGGAGAGAAAAACGAGCATCAGGGCTGACGGCAGATGCCTTGGCCCTCCGATCTGTTTCCTCATTCCCACTGATACCATCAGTGCAAGCCAATCGTGTAACCTCATTACCACTGGATGAGATGAGTCTAAGCTCTTGATTCGCTTGCAAGGAACTACGAGATTTCGAACCATTTGTAAATATTGCATTTGATCCTTGGTACTTGGAATTGTGTTGAAGAAATATCTCCCTGATTTCTGCTACGGATCTCTCCCCTTCCCCATTCCAACCAATTCCAGCTCGACTAGATTGGTCTAGGAGTGGGGGGAGGGGGATTGGGGACTTCCAACAGCTAGAACCTTGGAGAGATTTAAACTGAGATCTTCCACAAGATTTCTCACTCTCTTACCATAGGAATAGGATCGGCTATCCACAAGGGCGTTGACAGCCAATCTGGATGTAGGGGATCCCGGAATCTTTTGTACTTTTGTGTAGTAAATCAAGTTCATGTGGTCTCTCTGTAATGTAAGAGGTGGTTCTCCACTCACAGCATACAGGGACTCCTCATGTGAAGACCTGAAAGCCCCTGTACAGATCCTTAGAGCTTCATTATGAACTGAGTCCAACATCCGGAGAACAGTGGGAGTAGCAGATGAATAGGCCTCACATCATAGTCAAGTTTGCTAAGAATAAGCGCTCGGTAAATCCACAGAAGCGTTATGGGGTTTGCACCCCAAGTAGGTGTGAAAGAACCCGCAAAATACTAAGCATTTTTATAACCTTCAACTTCAACTGTCTGATGTGTCTTGAGTCAAAAATTAGACCCTAAGTACTTCACCTCTTGGACAAAATGCAGTGGATTTGCTCCTATATAGAGGGAAGGATGGAGTTCTCCTCGTTTGTGGAAATGCATAGCCATGGTCTTGCTTGGAGAAAATTTGAACCCATGGTATGTTGCCCACTGTGCAATCTGCCTTATTGCAGTCTGTGTTCTTGCACATCCTGTAAGCTTCCTCCAGAGCAGCACAGTGTCATCAACATACAGACTACACGAGATAGCACTTCGAACGATCTTTGCGGTGTCATTATTAGCAATGTCAAACAGAGTCACACTGAAGATACTCCCTTGTGGGACCCTTTCCAGCTGATCCTCTAGGTTAGGGAAACTGTTTCCCACCCTCACTCTAAACATTATATCAGCAAGGAAGCTTTGTATGAAGGTAGGTAATGCTCCTCTTAAATCAGGGTTCTACAGCTTCATATGTCATGCTTCCAAGTAGTATCGTAAGCCAGACTAACAAGTGACGTCGCTGTGCGAATTCTGTATAGCAATGTCCATCCTCACAAGGGCATCTGTGATCAATCTCAGTTTTCTAAACAGATAGCGATATGAGGTCTGTACGTTTTCCTTTTTTAGTATCCATTTCAACCTGAAGTTTACCATTTTCTCCATCAACTTGCAGATGCAGCTGGTGAGAGAAATTGGTCTGTAATTCCCTGGTATGGAAGCATCCTTGATCCTACTGAATAGGTTCAACAGGAACTTTTGGGAGTTTTCTGATTAGTGAGATATTATTTGGTATGGAATATCGTCACTTCCTAGCAGAGCTGCAGAGTAATGCTTTTATTCATTGCAAGCTAGAACACACCTGAAGAAGTTATTGTAATTTGCCCATGAATATTTATTCAGTCTTCCTCAACGATATCGTGTTTTACGAGGATATCCGTAGCATGGGTTTAACTAACATCAGTCTCGTGTCCCATTTACCAGCATTAGGAAAGGGAATAGAAATGGCAATGAAAATGTATGTTTTACTACCCATCCATTTATTAATTTATCTATCTATTTGTCTCTCTATCTATCTATATACATATAGATAATAAGCTAGACTAGTTAAGAGGAAGAAAAACAAACACAAATACAATTATCTCTTTATTTTTCATGAGTCACTATCTATATACATAATATGCGTATACTATATAGTGAAAGTATTAAAAAATCTTCAATATGTTTGATATATATCTATATATATTTATATATATATATGTATAAACCTGCCCGTCTCTACTAAGGCTAGTTCAAAGTTTTCAGTCCATAGAGGCTTAAATCCCTCTTAAAAAGGTTTCCAATTCGAAAAGTGACAACAAACAATGATTAAAAAAGAAACCCTATGGATCAACTATAATATTTGTAAGTGATCCAAAAAAACACTATGAATTCCAGCTCCAGTTTGAGCATAATTTACAAGCCTTATTAAAACACGAAATCCTTAAAATACCAAAATGGTCTTTATTGTCCTAAGTTATAAGGTAAATTGTATGTTTGCACTCTGACATGCGCCTTCGACCTAAAAAAAAAAAAATCATATGAAAGAGAAACAGCATATGAAAATACTTATTTCTGTCTACATTTTGGACGCCTCGGATACTGGGAAACGCAATTCATTACTGAAATACTTGAATGAAAGGAAACTCACAATATTTTCACTTCTTAGGAATTTAATTTGATGAATATATTATGAGTCCCAATGTACTAATTACTCGCTCACTGGAATTATTTCAAAATAATGTATTCTTCCTTATGAAATATATTCTACAGTAGAGGAGATACTCTTAGAGCAATCTTATCTGATATGTTTCACGGAGGAGGTTTTATCTGACAGTAACCAAAATAGGATTAAAAAAGGAATTCACGCGATGCCATTTGTTTTTCTTTTTTGTCTTTTTTTGGCATTGTGTCGCGGAATTTGGGAAGACGTGAAAACGAGCTTATTCTTTGTTTTGTTTTTTTTCTCGATATTTCTGGTGAAGTATCGACAAACAAAAACTTTGTAAACAAAAAGGAGCACCATTGTAAATTATTCGAATATAAGAGGAGTGAAAAGAGAAATTTGTAATGTTAGTTTGTAACTAAAATAATTCGGGGCATAAGATACTGACGTAAAGTGATATTACGGAATAACAGATTTAAAAAAAAAATGTACAATCCAACGAAAGTACCATAATAACGGTAATGAAAGTAACGACTAAAGCAAATAATAAAAACCCTCATAAAAAAAAAAAAAAATACAAGCAAAAAAAATTTAAAAAAATAAAAAAAATAAAAAACAAAAAAATTAAAATGCTACAAAAAAAAATCGAATCACACTGCCACGTCCGTCTCAATCCGCATTCAGATTTCACACACCCTTGAGTTTGGAAGAGTAACCGTTATCGGCCAACCACTTCATGATGACTTCGTAGTTATTATCCATCCATTTAACGTTATTTTCTGTTCTCTCGATGGCTTGGTCGACGGCGCGGGTTGCTGTGCCCAGTTGGCCTGCGTGTTCTTCCTTAAAGAGTTCCAACTGAAGAAAATTGAGAAAGGAGGAAGGGAGATTTTAGTAACGTTTTGTAGTGAATGTCTAAAATGTATTTCGCTTCTATTCTGCTTACTATTTTATTAGAATTATTATAATCATTACTAGGAAATTATTATTAAAGTTTTTATAAATATTTATGGCGATTGCATAACGTGTATTTCGATTCACTTGAATATGTTTACTTGTGTTTACTAAAATAACTAAATTTCTGTCTAGTAAGAGTCTCTATTATGATTTCTAAGGATCTAAGGCCAATTATGAATAGTTTGAATCTTAGGTAAATATTGCAGTAAAGTAAGAGTTGGTTGCATGCAGTTGCTAATGAACATAATTAATCAAAAACATATTTAATTGATGCATTCCACATGCTGCTAATTGCTTCATGCAACTACTGAAGCAGGAGAGGATGCGTAATATCATTAAAATGCAAAATAAATTGCTTGTGGCAGAGTCAAGTCAAATCTTCATTCGTCTGTTTATATTATTTTGTTTGTGCTTCTCTCTTTCCGATTTATTACACTTTTATCAATCCGTTTCTTTGCACACACTTATATTCCGATCTAATAGAACTTATCCTTATATAATAGAACTTCTTTTCTCATACTATTTACACTACCCTTAAGTTTCCCTTTAAATTCATACTTTCAATTGTGCCTAAAACCCAAACCTAAAATGGCTTTCTAAACTCACTCCTCATATTTTCCTCTCACGTCTCATACTTTTCCTCATACCTCATACATGCTTCGGTCAACGCAAAGCAGCTTTCGAAACCACACCTCATACTTTCCTTCGTAAGTCATACATCCCTCACTCACCACAAATTCACTCATATTCCTATATTCATTGCGTATATCATACAATTCCTCATAACTTTTATTTTCCTCTTAACTTATATTTTCCCCATAACTTATAACTTCCTCATAATTTATATTTTCCTTATTACTTATATTTTCCCCATAACTTATAACTTCCTCATAACTTATATTTCCCTCACTCATTAACAAATCAACTCCCCAACGTTATTATATTCCCTCTACTTCGTACCTCATACAATACCCTCATACCCTACATCCTTCCTCTTACCTCATACCTCCCTCATTTACTACCAATCGCTTCCCAAACCCCTTTTCATACTCTCTTTTCGTACCACATACCTCTTCTCCACACACCTCATATCTCTCTCACATATCTTATACTTTCCCTCACACCTGATACCATCCCTCATACCTCATGCTTCTCCTCCCTGGTGTTAAATTCATAGGAGACCGTGTTTACCATATCACCCAGGGTAGTGAATGTACCGGTGCTGTGGTGAGTAAAAAGTGAGTAAAATAAAGTCATGAGTTTGCTAAGCATAAGCGAAGAGGGGGAGGGGGATGGGGGGGGGGGAGGGGTAGGGAGGAAGGGGGAAGGGGAGGAGAGGTAGGGAGGGGGGAGGGAAAGAGAGGTAGGGAGGGGGGAGGGGAAGAGAAAGGGGGTAAGGGGGAGGGAAGGAGAGGTAGGGAGGGGGAGAGAGGGGGAATGGAGGGGGAGGGAAGGAGAGGTAGGGATTGGGAAGGAAGGAGGAGAGGGAGGGGGAGAGGAGAGAAAGCAGGTGACAATTAGGTAGAAATACAATAATAAAATAATAATACTAAAGAGTAGAAATAATAATAAACAGCTGATGAATAGAGAGATGAATGAAAGGTGAATAAAGATAAAAGAGATAAAACGCTATCACAAAGCAAGCGATATAGCAAAGCTTCGTGTTTCCGTGAGTCCGTGAGTCACTTGTTTTCTGAGTCATTATCTTCTCGCCAGTCCTGCGAAAGTTTTGAGAAATTAATCCTTACTTTTTTTTTTTTTTTTTTTTTTTTTTTTTTTGGGGGGGTGGGGGGATTTAGCTAGTCAATTTTTAATCATTCTCTATCTAATTAATTCCCTACCTTTGATTACAATTACCCCCAAAGTAAGGATTAATATCCCTTCAAGATTAAGTAAACTCTCATGCAAGATAGTCTCATCATGCACAAGGCCATGCAGTTTCCTCTGAAAGGGATAAAAAGGGAGGTTTAAAAAGATCAGCTGTATTAAAGCGCGTTAGTGTCGTCCATTCATTTCCATACCTAGAAAAGAGAGAGAGAGAGAGAGAGAGAGAGAGAGAGAGAGAGAGAGAGAGAGAGAGAGAGAGAGAGGGAGAGAGAGAGAGGGAGGGAGGGAGGGAGGGAGGGAGAGAGAGAGAGAGAGAGAGAGAGAGAGAGAGAGAGAGAGAGAGAGGAGAGAGAGAGAGAGAGGGAGGGAGGGAGGGAGAGAGAGAGAGAGAGAGGAGAGAGAGAGAGAGAGAGAGAGAGAGAGAGAGAGAGAGAGAGAGAGAGAGAGAGAGAGAGAGAGAGAGAGAGAAAGAAAGAGAGAGAGAAAGAAAGAGAGAGAGAAGGAGAGAGAGAAAGAGAGAGAGAAAGAGAGAGACAGAGAGAGTAGGAGGGAGGGACGGACGGAAAGATAGATAGATAGATAAATAGATAGATAGATAGATAGATAGAGAGAGAAAGAGAGAGAGAGAGAGAGTAGGAGGAGGAGGAAGAGAGAGAAAGAAAAAAACAACAGAAACAGACAGAAATACAAAAGATACAGAAAAAGAAAGAAAAGAAAAAAAAAGAAAAACAAGAAAAAAAACTTCTCGAAGATCTAAAAAAGAGAGAAAATAACAATAAGAAAACAGATCGGTTAAACTACAAAACATCCTCGTGGCTGTCGACGTGTTTGTTTACCTCCGCCAATTCGAGCTTCGTGTTGAAGGATATTGTGGCTGCCTTTATAATCCGGGCGATGGCGAAGAAACCTGAGCCATAGCTGTAAGGTGGATGATCAATTTAATTCATGGTGAAAACCTGCTATAATCATGGAAATAATTATGGTAATGGTGGTAATAATGGTGATGATTGTAAGGGTAATGTTAAAAATGAGGGAGATGAGGAACCCGAGTCATAGCTGTAAGGTGGATGATCAATTTAATTCATGGGGAAACCTGTTATAATTTTGGAAATAATTATGGTAATGGTGGTAGATAATGATGATAATGTTGATAATTGTAAGAGTACTGATAGAAATAAGAGCAATGATGAAATTCGTGAGTGATATTGATAGGTTGTGATTATAATAATGATGAGAATAAAGGATATGGCAATAATAATGATGATAATAAAGGATATGGCAATAATAATGATGATAATTGTATGAGTAATGATAAAAAACTTTGATTAATAATAACCATAGTGTTATGGAATATTATTTTTATTTGAATATATAACTTTTAAATAAGAATGTATACTATATTGATTATATTGCAGGTTATCAATAATAAATTAAGTAAATGTAACGGTTCCCAGTGAATGAGTGAATCAAACGAAATGTGAAAAACTAAATAATATAGATATAAATTCTGGATAAAACCGAATTTCAACAAACAATTAAAAGTTTACGGCGAAGCAAGACAATATTAGCCCCGACCCTTAAAAAACAGTTTGACAATGCATTTAATTTAAACATTATTTGACAATTTTCTCCTACTGATCAAACGCTTGACAGAAAAAAAAATCTTTAACCTGCATACTCACCTATCACTATCCATGGAATATCGTAAAAAGATAATAAGAGTAACATAATAATAATGATGATAATGATGATGGTGAGAATGATGATGATAATAATAACAATAATAATAATGATAATAATAAGAATAATAAGAATAAGAATAATAAACATGTAATAAAACATAAACTTACTAATCAGCAATCTGCTGCCACTGGTCCCTGAGGAAGTTCCAGGCCAGGTAGCGCCCCACGTCATTCCTGGCGACGGCGGCGAACACCTGCGACGCGTCCTGCTTCCGGATGCCGCTGCCCTCCGTGAAAGCCATGTCCAGGTACCTGTGGAGAGCATGCTGGGTTATTTCCTTTTCGTTTTTTTTTTTTTTTTTTTTCTTTGTTTTGTTATTGATGTAGGAATGCATAGGAGGGTGCTGGGTTATTTCCTTTTAATATATATTTTTTTTTCTTTGTCTTGTTATTGATGCAGGGGTGCATAGAAGGGTGCTGGGTTATTTCCTTTTCGTTTATAGATTTTTATTTGTCTTGTTATTGATGTAGGGGTGCATAAGAGGGTGCTGGGTTATTTCCTTATCATCTTTAGATTTCTGTGTGCTATTGTTCCTGTAGGGGTGAATTAGAGGGTGGTGGGTTATTTCCTTATCATCTTTAGATTTCTGTGTGCTATTGTTCCTGTAGGGGTGAATTAGAGGGTGGTGGGTTATTTCCTTTTCATTCATTCGTTTATCTTTGCATTATTATTCTCGCAAAGGAGGCGTTCTGTGTGATTTTCTTTTTATTTATAGATGCCTCGTTATATTATCAGTACTGTAGGGGTGTAGGGAAGAGTGCTGGGTTATTTCCTTTACATTTATTTGTCTATCTTTAAATTTTTAGTCCTGTAGAGGAGAGTGCTGAGTTATTTCCTTTTTATCAATATATTTATCTTTAATTTGTTATTACTGTTGGAGTTCAAAGGAGGAGTATTGGGGTATTCCTTATCTTTATATATTCATCGTTCTATTATTATTCCTGTGGGGGTTCAAAGGTTATTATCCTTTTTGTTAATGTGTTTATCTGTCTGTTAATATTCCTGTTGGGATGCAAAGGAGGGTGGCAGGTTATTTCCTACAAAGAAGGGTGCTGGGTTATTTTCTTTTAATTTAGCCATCTTCATATCAAAGAGAAGGAGGAAGAACACGCAGAAGAAAGGGGCAAAAATGGAAGAAGAGAAAATGGAAAAGAACAAATTAACCAAGACACACACACACACAGCCACACACACACACACACACAAACACACACACACACACACACACACACACACACACACACACACACACACGCACACACGTACACACACACACACACACACACACACACACACACGTACACACACACACACGTACACACAAACACACACACACACACAAACACACACACAAACACACACACACAAACACACACGTACACAAAAAGGGACCCTTACCTCGACAAGATCCACACTTCCTTAGTACAACCCATAGCCGACAGGAGCTTAGCCTTCTCCGTGGCGACGTTGGAGTTGATGTACTGCTCCCACGCGAAGTTCCACTCCTCCTCGCCGCCCTCAGCCACGCCCGTGCAGTATACCGTCGACTTCAGGTTGGGAGAGATGAGGCTGCGGGAGATGAAGAGGGAGGATGAAGATGCTGTTGATGCTGTAGTCGTAACTTAATTGGTATTTGGTGGTATTGGGATTATTGTGATTATTCTTTGTTGTTGATGTTATTATTGTTTGTTAATGATGTCGTGTCCAGTTAGAAGCTAATGTCAAGATATCAACGATAGTAATTATGATAAAAATGATAACATTGATGATTATAAGGATAATAATTAAGTGATAATGACTATGATAATAAGAATAATGATAATAATGAAAATAATAATACAAACAAAAACAAAAATAATAGTAATAACAATAATAACAATAATGATAAACTATAACAATAGTGATAATAATAACAGTAATGATAACAACATCAATAATCACCTTAAACAAAACAAAAACCTCATACCTGGTGTTGGAGGGGTTCTGAACCCAAGAATTGAAAAGACCCTGAGATCTGTCCACGCAGTCTTGGTAGCCGAGATTGCACGCCCACGATAAAGCTTTGACGCGCTTGTACTGATCCAAGTGAGGGTCGTTGAGGTTATCGTCGAAGCCCACGGAGTTGTAGAGGGGAATCAGGATGTCCAGCAGGTAGCTCTGAGGGGAGAGAGAGAGAGAAAGAAGGGGAGATAAGATTGGGAGAATGTGGAGATAAAGGGGAGGGAAAGGAAAGCGTGGAGCGTAGGATTCAAAGGCAGAATTTTTTTTCGCTTGTTTGATAGCCATCAGCGTGTTGTATCAACGTGAAAAAAGATTAAAAAAGAAAAAGAAAAGTATAAGGCAAAAATCTAGAAGATGAAAAAGAAGTCGATAAACAGATCGTTTGCAGACTTACCTTCAGATCGCCGTAGCCACTAGAACGAGTAAACATGTTTTCCAGATAAGCTAGGTTGTTCAGGGCGGAATCCCAAGGGACGAATTCCACTTCCTTGCCCAGGTAAGCATTCACGCTCAGTGCCGTGTCGTAGGATATCTGACCTGAAGGTGTGAAATTAAAGAGTGAAAAAATTTAAATAAAAAAACTGAATTAACTTTAAATCAACCCGTAACCTTAATTACTGAATGGCAGTAAAGATAACAAGAGTCTAACAAAACGTTAACAAGGAAGCATACAGAATAATCCATTCAGGTATAACTCATGACAACATAAAACGTAAACATGGACGTAAACAAAGGAACAAAGAAACCCAGTGTGTCTTACCGCCACGTGCGAGGTTCAAAACATCGTCAATGATCTGGGCTCTGTTGATGACGTGAAAAGCCTCGTGGTTGTCCTTGAGTTGCTGGATGATCAGGTTCCAGTTCTCAACGTCGTAGTTGACCCTGTAATAACCGGTCTCCTGCACGTTGAAGATCACCCACTTGTCCTTCGCCGGGAGGGAGGAAATGGTGAGTTGTTCTTCCGTGTCCATCATCCATCGCTGGGGCTTCGTCGTCTCGAAGTCGGGGTTGGTCTCCGTGGTGTAGGACAGAGGGACCCACCACTTGTAGTCGTGGGTGTCCGTCGAGTTGGGGTTCTTGACGAGGAGGAAGCGTTCCTGAGGGGGGCGTGGCGGGGGAAGGGGTTACTTTTTTGGAATAGTCCGATTCGAAATTACGAATATAATAACATCCTGGTTATCTACGAATAGAGAATAACGAGGAGAATGGGGAGATGTGTCTTTATGGACCGCTACAGGTTTATTAAAAGGAAAATAACTCTAATGCAGAACAAATAAAGTTAACACGACAACACAGCAAACCTGTGGCACGATGCTGCAACATTCCCAAAAAGAACGGGGGTCTAAAATACAGAAATCAAGGCTCATCAATGACTTCTAAACAGTCTGCACACAGCAAAGCTACATCATAGTGAACCCTAACCTCCTAAATTTCTGTAAATCTGATAACTCTTTTGGAATAAAGCATTTACCACTATCAACACAATACTCACAAAGGGTTCTCTGTTCAATGTAGTTCGTCTTTGCATTTTTTTCCCTTCATGATTAAACACTTACTTGGGAAACTGTTGCTGAAGTGCCGTCGCTGCTTCGTGTCACCTTAATCACAGGGTAACCCATCTGCAGTGTCCAGGTGTCCATGATTTTCTTGACAGTGACATCCGCGGGGAGCGTGTTGTCTTCGTGGGCTGCTGTCGTGAGGTACTGCCAAAGGTCGTCCTGCTCTGCGTTCTGGTATTTCCTGAAGGGGGAGAAGATGTTAAACTTTTTGCGGTGCTTGTGTCTTTCTGTAATGCATATTAGAGATGAATAGTTTCCGTATGTAATGGTATCTGTGTGTGTGTGTGTGTGTGTGTGTGTGTGTGTGTGTGTGTGTGTGTGTGTGTGTGTGTGTGTGTGTGTGTGTGTGTGTGTGTGTGTGTGTGTGTGGTGTATTGTGTTTTTTTTTTTCTATATGTGTATGTGCGTGTATGTGTCTGTAGGTGCATATAAAATGAAGCCAATATTAACTCACAGTTCCGTAAGGTAATTGGAGAGGCCCTTCCTGAAGGTGGCTTCCGTCAAGAAGTGGTTCATCATGCGAATAATAGAGGCACCTGCGAATGGAAGGACCACTTGGTGAACTGAAACTTCGTGATATATTAATCATTGTGGTTTAACCTGCAAATGATATCTCTTTCTCCTCTGGCTATCTTTTTCTCTTTCCCTTTATATGCCTATATCTATATGGATATCTAAATGTATATGGATATATATACACACGCATACGCATCTATCTATCTATCTATCTATCTATCTATATATATATATATATATATATGAATGCAAACATAAACACGTGTAACGTGTACACAAAGATGAAAAGGAAAATACACACAATATGAAGTTAAATTGAATCGTAACGTTTCGAACGTTTCACGAGTTCCTCATCCATTTCGGGTGATTATTCGTCTGATGCGAAACTCGGTTATAAACGTTACGATTTAATTTCATTTCTGTGAGCGGGCGCATGCTAATATATATATACATAGGCTTTGGAGCTATGGTACTTAACCCTCCTTGTCCTCTCATGGTGGTACAGCATACAACAAATGCCATGCATGTGTATATGAGTTCTTGGTTCCAAGCCACAGTACTGGCTAAGTGTCTCGGCTGGTGTATCTTATCAAAATATGTCATAAGGCCATCTCAATACCCGGTATAGCATGTACAAGGGATCAAAAGGTCTGGGACTGAATCCTGTTGCTGCTGTAGTGACGTGCTAGTGGATGAACCTGTGTGTAGTAACAAGCTAACTGCACTTGGCCCCCCTGGGCCAAAAAGTGGGGGGGCGCGCGCCCCTCTCGCCCCCCCCCCCCCGGCTCCAAAGCCTATGAGATAGATAGATACACACATTTATATGGATATCTATATATATATATCCATCCATCCATCTATCTATCTATATATATATCCATCCATCCATCTATATATATATATATATATATATATCCATCCATCCATCTATATATATATCTATCTATCCATGTATCTAATAACAGTATATATCCATCTATCTATCTATCAGTATGAATCCTTCTTACAGCCTCCTTATGCCCTCCAAGCGTGCCTTACCCTTTGCATAAGAGATACGGTCGAAAATCTCATTGATCTCATCTGGGTGGCCCACAGGGATGCTGATAGGATGCGAGGATTCCAGGCAGTCGATGGCGAAGACGTCTTGGAGATCTTCGGTGACGAACTGCTCCATCATCTTCCAGGATGGCTCGGACTGGGGGGTGGAGGGTGGCGTGAGTTGGTGCGGAGGTGAGGGTAAAGGGGTAGAAGTCAGAGGGTAAGTGTTTCATGAGTTTGTGGGTTGTGATTATGTTTTTTTTTTTTGGCTTTCTATGTTCTTGCTCTTTCTTTCCTTCTCTCTCTTTCTCTTTCTCTTCCTCTCTCTCTCTCTCTCTCTCTCTCTCTCTCTCTCTCTCTCTCTCTCTCTCTCTCTCTCTCTCTCTCTCTCTCTCTCTCTCTCTCTCCGAATGAAAATGAAAATCTTGAATCAACAAGAATACTTTTACAATTAGCAAATCATTCCACATCCAGGTTGAACAATTTCCAATCACACGCTTAACACCCACCCAAACACTTGAACAATTTCCAAACACACGCCAACACACCGGGCAACACCCTTACATGATTAACACCCAGGAACTCCATGAAGGACGCGAAACCCTCGTTGAGCCAGAGGTCGGTCCACCACTCGGGCGTGACCAAGTTGCCGAACCACTGATGGGCAAGTTCGTGAGCAACCACCACCACCACGCGCTGCTTGTTGGACGCGGCTGAGACTGCAGGGTCGTAAAGCATGGCCGTTTCTCTGGAAGACAGGGGAGATTTGGGAATTTGAAAAAAAGGGAAAAAGTGAAGGGAAATGGTGTTTGTGATAGATGGAGTGGAGAGAGAAGGTCGAAAGGTATGGTTCGTTTTTTTTTTCTCTCTCTTTTTTTTTGTCTGGGAGGGTGAGGAGAGGAAAAGGGAAATGATATTTGTGATAATTGTAAAGGGAAGATGAGGCTGCGTTTTCCTTTAAGATAAAGCAGGGTGTGGATAAAAAAAGTAAGTGAGGGAAATGATATTTGTGATAAATGAAGTGGACAATGATAGACAACGATACAGTTGAAATGAGACGGACCGGAAAATGATAACGTGTTGAAATGAAAGCCAAAGACGGATATTGACTGAAAGGAAGTGATACTGAAATGCTCTACCGGAGAGAGGTTAGCCTACTGAACGTCAGTACATGAAGGGTGAGCTGATCGAATAGTGAAATATGGGAACAAATAGAACAGATATGATAGAAGGACATTAAGGGGAAATATCATTACTAATAACACTGTATAAAGACCAAGATATTCTTGATTAATTCTTGAAGCAATAAAAAATGCTCCTTACGAACATCCATTTCACCCTGCCCAGCACCATCTCGGAGGTGGCCCCAGTAAGAGATGAGAATTATCAACAGGATATAATGTCCACTATGATGCCAAAAAAAAAAAACTAAAACAGTGTACAAGACACATGTATTTGTCGGGAAATAAGGCCCTAGGAAAAGAAAATCCTTGCTAGTGCCAACCTATAGGCATGATTCCCCAGGAAGAGCAAGTAATTAACAGCCAGCGAAATCCCTATTGGTGCTAATCTATGAGTAAAGGGGCCCTACTAAAAGAGGAATATTGAGAGTGCAAACTTGCAGCTGACAAGAGAGAGAGAGAGAGAGAGAGAGAGAGAGAGAGAGAGAGGAGAGAGAAGAGAGAGAGAGAGAGAGAAGAGAGAGAGAGAGAGAGAGAGAGAGAGAGAGAGAGAGACAGACAGACAGAGGAATAGATACTCTCTTTCCCTCTCCCTCTCTACGAAATCCCAGTGCCAGTACCAACCTGTAGGTGATGAGGCCCCAGTTCTCCATGGCTCCCGCCGAGAAGTCCGGAATGGCGATCATGTCCTGCTTGGGGAGAGGGAAGGGCACATCGAAATATCCCTCGAAGAAAGTGAGGATGTCAGGTCCTGTTGTCAGGGCGTAGTTGGCTTGCTCGATGGCAGCTTTGCGTGCCCACACTGCCAATAAGGTGGAAATTAAGTCAGGGGGAGGGGTGTAATGGCGTTTGTGTTGGTTATTTGTGAACGTTGGTGGTGGAAGGGAAGTTAGTGCTTGAATGTAGGGCTGTATTCAGATTGTGGTTGGGGAAAAAAGGTGTTAAGAGACCATAGATATCTTTCTAGATTATCATGCTGTGATTACTTTGATATACTCTATTATTTCATTCGTCCTTTCCGAAAACGAGAGACGACAGTGACATCTTTCTTTTCTACACACTGTAACGATAATACACACACACACACTTTTACACACACACACACACACACACACACACGTACACACACGTACACACACGTACACACACACACACAAACACACACACACACACACACACACACACATACACACACACACACACACACACAAACACACACAAACACACAAACACACACAAACACACACACACACACGCAAACAGACAAACACAACCACACACACACACACACAAACCTCTAAACAGGACGTGGTCATTGGCAGTGGAGTTCATGTGCGAGAAATCTGAGATGACGAAAGCCACCAGGTAAGTGGACATTGGAACGCTGGTGTTGAAATGGTCCCACACCCAACCTGGCTGTCCCTCTCTGTGAAATTAAATGGGTTTTTGTTTAACGATGGTTCTCTAATGGTAATATTGGGATAGAGTTGAGAAGAATGGTTAAAGTGGTTTGTTGGTTTATTCTAGCTGATTGTGTTCTCTGTTCTTTAAAAACTATTATTCGTAATCTTGGAAGCAACTTTGTACAACTTGAGTACAACTGAGTTATATTATTTAAAAGTCATCATCTTTTTCAACTTGAAATCCAACTTGGAGAAAGATCAAGTTCTTTTGAAGTTCGAAAACAAGTATGTTTCATAACTTCTAAACGGTTTTGAACCAACGAATATTACCCTAAAAACACATACATCAATTTAATCAAAGAAAACTACTTCAGTAGGGGAAACTAAAATAAAAAATAAAGAGTCCAAACTCACATGGGGAGTGACTCGAACTTGGGCATGTTAGAGATGGAGGACATACCCTCCTCCCTGCCCAGATACACCTCGAAAGTGGCCTTCATGCCCGGCTCATCGAAGCAAGGGAAGGCTCTGCGGGCGTCCGTGGGCTGGAACTGGGTCGAGGCGATCAATCTGCGGGCGTGGAGTAGGCGTTGTGTCATCTTGAGCTTTATTATTTGGTGTTTTGTTCTTGCCTGCTCGTGTGTTAACTCAGCCGTTCATACATCTACTTGAATTTCTTAAGATCAATGTATCTATCTATTTATCTATCTATCCATCTATCTATCCATCTATCTATCTATTTATCTATTTGTCTGTCTATCCATCTATCTATCTATTTATCTATTTATCTGTCTATCCATCCATCTATATCTATCGATTTATCTATATATAAATTTATCTATCTATATATATCCATCTATTTATCTACCGATCTATCCATCAACCTAGCTATCTATTCATCCATCTATATATCTATCCATTCCTCTATATATCCACCTATCTATTCATTCAGACGTTGAATGAGCACAAAAATCTCTCTCTCTCTCTCTCCCTCTCTCTCTCTCTCTCTCTCTCTCTCTCTCTCTCTCTCTCTCTCTCTCTCTCTCTCTCTCTCTCTCTCTCTCTCTCTCTCTCCCTCCTTCTCTCTCTCTCTCTCTCTCTCTCTCCCTCCTCTCTCTCTCTCTCCTCTCTCTCCTCTCTCTCTCTCTCTCTCTCCCTCTCTCTCTCTCTCTCTCTCTCTCTCTCTCTCTCTCTCTCTCTCTCTCTCTCTTATAACAACAACAATACTGACAGGCAATACAAATAAAAGAGACCATAAACCTAACAAAAAGGATACAGTGAACAATACCCTCATAACTTCACCCACCTGTCGCTTCCATCCTCAGCCTTATAAGTAGACCTATAGAAGCCATGAAGCTGGTCGTTCAAATAGCCCTCGAATTCCATGGAAAGGACGTATTTCTCCCCCACTACCAGGTCTTCGCCGAGTTCCGCGATGTAGAACTGCCTCTCGTTGTCGTAACTGTGTTTGGTGATGCCGACGCCAGGCCCTTGGACTTGGTCGGATGGGGCGAGCTGTGGAAAGGGGGGGGGGGTGATTGTGATGTTGATAGTGATGGTACTCATGTATTATGGTTATCTGTCTCTCTGTGATTGTAATGGATAGTGGTGGTGGTGATGATAGTGATGTTGATAGTGATGGTACTCATATATTATGGTTACCTGTCTCTCTGTGACTGTAATGGATAGTGGTGGTGGTGGTGATAGTGATGTTGATAGTGAGGGTACTCGCATATGATTATCTGTCTCTCTATGACTGTAGTGAATAGTGGTGATCGTGGTGGTGGTAGTGATAGTGATGTTGATGGTGAAGGTATATTATGGCTGTAATCGATAGTTGTGATAGTGGTGATGATCGTAGCAGTGGTGGTAATGACGGTGATGTTGATAGTAATGATACTCAGTGTATGGCTGTTACGGATAATGATATAATGGTGATTTTGTTGGTAATGCTGGTATTGTTGATAGTGAAGATACTCATACTATGGTTGTTGTGGATAATGTTGAAAGTGATGATGGCTGTGATGGGATGGTGATGATGTTAATGTTGATAGTGATTATACGAATGATACTGATAATGTTGATGATGGCTGTGATGGAGATGATGACGATAATAAAGGTGGTGATGTTGATAGTGATGATCATATAATCTTAAAATATGAAGAAATATAATTGCAAAACTTCAAAACCTTATAATCTAAATCCTATGTACTTCAGCAAGTTTAAAATTTCAAATAATAAAAAAAAATGTGCATTGTGCATATTTACTAATTAATTTACGCAAGCAATTCGACAACACATAAAAGATACATAAAGATACATCATGATTTCAAATCTCATTCCTACAGATAAAATAACCAGCAAAGACACAACGAAACACGAACAAAAAAAGAGAAACATTTTAACCCATTATACCCCAAACAACCCATTCACACTTACCCTAATCGTCTCATGGTTACACATTTACCTTAACCGTCTCATTCTCTCACACTTACCATAATCATCTCATTCTTTCACTTACCTTAATCGCCTCATTCTCACACTTACCCTAATCGCCTCATCCATACACACTTACCCTACTCCTCTCATTCCTACACAGTTACCTTAATCGTCTCATTGTTACCCCAATCGTCTTATTCTTTCACACTTATCTTAATCGTCTCGTTCTTACTCTTACCCTAATCGCTTCATTTTTACGCGCTTACCCTAATCGTCTCATGCTTACACACTTACCCTAATTGCCTCATCTTTCTCACTTACCCTAATCGTCTCATTCCTATACACTTACCTTAATCGCTTCATTCTTACCCCAATCGTCTTATTCTTTCACACTTACCCTAATCGTCTGATCCTTACGCACTTACCCTAATCGTCTCATGCTAAGCACTTACCCTAACCGCCTAATCCTTACGCACTTACCTTAATCGTCTCATTCTTGGTAACAATGTCAGCGATGTGGAGGGTGACGTTGGAGGTCGCTTCCAACACCTCGACCTCCACCTCGACGTAACCCAGGATGCTGAAGTTGCCGTTGATGAGAGGCTGGAGTTTCACCTTGTAATGGAGGGGCTTCACGGAGCGGGGAAGCCTCACGTCAATTTTGTCTTCCTTTACTGGGGTCATGGGCGTGGTAGGGACCATAGGGCGTTCCGTGGCTAGCTGTGGGCGGGGAAAGGGATTTATTTATTTTTTTATTTTATATTAAGAGTGAAATAGGTTTTACTAAGAGAGGTGTGATTGGAGGTAAGTTAATGAGGTAATTATTATTTTTTTTCTTTAAGGGTGAAATAGCCTTTGCTAAGAGAGGTGTGATTGGAGGTAAGTTAATGGAGTAATTATATATATATTTTTTTCATTAAGGGTGAAATAGGTTTTGCTAAGAGAGGTGTGATTGGAGGTAAGTTAATGAGGTAATTATATATATTTTTTTTCTTTAAGGGTGAAATAGGTTTTGCTAAGAGAGGTGTGACTGGAGGTAAGTTAATGAGGTAATTATAATTTTTTTTTATTTTTTTATTAAGGGTGAAATAGGTTTTCCTAAGAGAGGTGTGACTGGAGGTAAGTTAATGAGGTAATTATAATGGGGGGGGTTGATTGTACGTAAATTGGATTTGAGATATTAGGGTAAATTAAGTGTAAATTGGGAGAGTTATGTTTATGGAAAAACATCAGTAAGGTGATTGAGTGTTGTGGTAATGGTTGGCGAAAAATTATGAAAACAAGTAAGATAAAATAAAATCATTTTCATTCATATACCGACGAGTCTGAATTCCCGAGACTCATTATCATATCTATTGTTTCAATTGTTTTTCCTTTGAAGTTTTGAAAAGTCTGCATGTCTGTGTGGGTGCCTTTGTGTGCGTATATGTATATGTGAGTGAATGAATGAGTGAATGAGTGAATGAGTGAGTGCGTGTGTGTGTGTGTGTGTGTGTGTGTGTGTGTGAGTGAGAGAGAGAGAGAGAGAGAGAGAGAGAGAGAGAGAGAGAGAGAGAGAGAGAGAGAGAGCGAGAGAGAGTACGCAGATTCACTGAATGAATACCCGTTTAAAACTACAACACTGGGAGGAAGGAAGAGAGATTACTTGTCTTGATGTTTATCATCTTCATTCATCCAAGGGAAGAAATATCCTCTCTCTCTCTCTCTCCCTCTCTCTCTCTCTCTCTCTCTCTCTCTCTCTCTCTCTCTCTCTCTCTCTCTCTCTCTCTCTCTCTCTCTCTCTCTCTCTCTCTCTCTCTCTCTCTCTCTCTCTCTCTATCTATCTCCCTCCCTCCCTCCCTCCCTCCCTCCCTCCCTCCCTCCCTCCCTATCTCTCCTTCCCTCTCCCCCTCCCTCCCTCTCCCACGAAACCTCCCTTCCATCTCTCTTATCATTTTCGCAAAATGAAGTCGAGATAAGAAGTCAAAGGAAATCCGCTTTATCTCCTTCGCCTTCAAGAGGTTCCTTTGACCAGGTAGACGTAAGAACAGGATTAGATAACGTTTAAGGGAATAGGATAGTTTTATGGACATGATCTGATGTGGATATTGTATGGAGTTGATAATTCTAGTGATAGTGAGGATGATAATGATGGTGATGACGAATATGTTGATAATCGTAATGATGGTTATGATGGTGATGATTATGATGATCATCATAGTCATAATGATAATAATGATATTAATCATCATCATCATCATCATCTTCATCATCATCATCATAATCATCATCATTATTATTATTACAATTACAATAATAATAATAATGATAATAATAATAATAATAATAATGATGATGATAATAATAATAATAATAATAGTAATAATAATAATAATAATGACAATGATAATGATAGAAATAAATAAGAACAACTTGATGTCATTTAGCTAAGGAACTAATCAGCAGATGTCATTTAGCTAAGGAACCATTTAATCAAATACCTACTTAACGAGGCACTTTTAGCATAGATAAGATCTGAAGTGTATTGACCATTTCCGCAGATGCAAATTAGGTTTAGAAAGAGAGGTCCCGTTTTGAGGAGGGGGAGCGGGGGGGGGGAGATAAAGACCCCCCTCGTTGATCCTTCTTAAAGTAGGATTTTATCTTCGTAAGATAAACTATCCTTAATATGATGATGACGTGTGTGTGTTTGTGTGCGTGTGTGTGTGTGTGTGTGTGTGTGTGTGTGTGTGTGTGTGTGTGTGTGTGATTTTGTGTGTGCATCCCTATGTGTATATATATATATATCTAAATATATACACACATGCACACACATACACATCATTATACATGTGTGCGTATGTATACATGTGCGTATGCATATATGTGTATGTATATGTGCATGTATATATGTATGTGTATGTATGTATATGTGCATGTATGTACATGTGTATATGTACATGTGTGTGTATGTACGTGTGTGACATATATACGCGGATACATCTATCTACTATCTATATCTCGAGCAACGAAGAGCACCCGCCCTCGAGGACAAGCCAAGAGCAGCGAGACGCGCCCTCCGACGCAGCGCTCACCGAGGTTCTGGCGAGGTTGAGAGGATCTCCGGCCTCCCTGACCTGCGGCGCGTAGTAATACACAAGAAGTCCTGTGGCCACTGTTGCGCTGACGAAGAGGAGCCCGAGGATGACCGCCACGCTCCTGTTCACGTAGCAGCCGTCTCTTTTGCCGAAGGACACGGAGGCTGCGGACTGGTTCATCTCCATGGCCAGCGTCTCTCTGCTGGAGCCCGTCATGGTAGGGCGGCGGTTCTAGCTCCTTGGCTTCGGAAGAGCGAGAGGAGCGGGGAAGGTCCTGGTCTGGCCTTTTGCTTGCGCTGTTGTTGGAGACCTGCGGGGAGGGAGGTGCGTGTTATTCATGTGCATATGGGTGAGTGAGTTTTATGGGGATATTGATTCTTATGTTTTTTTTATGAGTGTGGCAGTGTCAATTATGAATTAATAAACAGCAGATTAGTAATACTCAAATCTGTCTGTGTCAAATACCTCTCTCTCTCTCTCTCTCTCTCTCTCTCTCTCTCTCTCTCTCTCTCTCTCTCTCTCTCTCTCTCTCTCTCTCTCTCTCTCTCTCTCTCAGATACGCATACCACACACACATACACACACACACACACAACCACACACACACACACATATATATAAACATTAGCAATACAATAACCGAATTTAGGTAGGATATTCTTGCTAACCGAAGGACGGCAGCGATATCAAACGACGAGAATAATGACTAAGACATTTACATCCGCTGCCAATGTTGCCAAAATTGCAACGTGACTCGGATATTCTAAGCTACGAAAATTCCAGTGGAAACCGATGAAGCACGAAGAACGTAATAATGACAAAAAAAAAAAAAGATAAATTCGAATATTCTCCCCTGTAACCACCGCGTATACCGATAAGAAAACAAAAGGCGAACGCACAGATTTACAAATAAGGTGTTAATCCGTTTTGCGAATCGATTCCGATGTCGTTATGAGTACAGATGAAGGAATCGAAGAGCCTAGTTTATCTGAATTATCTGGCAACAAGTCCTTTCCAGTCACTTATACTCCCATTTCCTCATCCTGCTTTGTGGTTGAGTTTTTTTTTCTCGTGCTTGCAAGAATACCTCCAGTCGATATGTAGAACTTCTGCGTGTTCTTCGTTGTTTCCTGTTCTACGGTCGCTTGACAAAGGGCTTTTATGACAATGGATAATGCATTTTTTTTTTTTTTTGGTGTTATTTTTTTCATTTATTTGTTTGTGTTATTTTGTCTGATTGATGTATATAGACTTAGTGCAAGCTACACAGGCTACTGGGAATGGAAGGCATAATTCTCTGAACTTTATATTCAGACATGTATAACTCACACACTCACAAACAATAGAATTATAACTAGTCAGCTAGTGAATCTTCAGATAATAAAAATTAACAGCGATCTTTTTTTTTACACATATAGAAAAGAAAATACAGAGTTATACCTGTACAAATGTTTACAAATCACAAAGATTTATTTTAGACATTGATAAGCAAAACAACCCCAACAACAATTACAACAAAAAGTACAGACTTATACAAAACATAATGCTAAAGTTTCATAGTTTCATTTGTGACATGATTACACATGATAAGGACACTTGTTCGTAGCCACAAGGGTGAAGGGCAGATGCGCAGGTGTACGGGAGAGTGCAGCTGTTAAAGTCCTCAGAGAAAAAACAGACAGACATATACAAAATGAGTATGTTGGGAATCGATTTTGTGAGGAAAGGGATAGAGAGAGAGAGAGAGAGAGAGAGAGAGAAAGGGATAGAGAGAGAGAGAGAGAGAGAGAGAGAGAGAGAGAGAGAGAGAGAGAGAGAGAGAGAGAGAGAGAGAGAGAGAGAGAGAGAGAGAGAAGGAGAGAGAGAAAGAGGAGAAGAGAGAGAGAGAGAGAGAGAGAGAGAGAGAGAGAGAGAGAGAGAGAGAGAGAGAGAGAGAGAGAGAGAGAGAGAGAGAGAGAGAGAGAGAGAGAGAGAGAGAGAGAGAGAGAGAGAGAAGAGAGAGAGAGAGAGAGAGAGAGAGAGAGAGAGAGAGAGAGAGAGAGAGAGAGAGAGAGAGAGAGAGAGAGAGAGAGAGAGAGAGAGAGAGAGAGAGAGAGAAGAGAGAGAGAGAGAGAGAGAGAAAGAAAGAGAGTGAAAGAGAGAGAGAGAGGAGTGAAAGAGAGAGAGAGAGAGAGAGAGAGAGAGAGAGAGAGAGAGAGAGAGAGAGAGAGAGACAGAGACAGAGACAGAGACAGAGAGAGAGAGAGATGCAGACAAACAGAAAGACAAGCATACATACTGACAGACATACTGACAGACATACATACAAACAGACATACTGACAGACATACAGACAGACAGACACAAAGACAAATAGGTAAATAAATAAACAAAGGATAAATATGTAAATAGGTAAATAAATAAACAAAGGATAAATATGTAAATAGGTAAATAAATAAACAAAGGATAAATATGTAAATAGGTAAATAAGTAAATAAATGATAACTTCGTAAATAGGTAAATAAATAAACAAAGGATAAATATGTAAATAGGTAAATAAATAAACAAAGGATAAATATGTAAATAGGTAAATAAATAAACAAAGGATAAATATGTAAATAGGTAAATAAATAAACAAAGGATAAATATGTAAATAGGTAAATAAATAAACAAAGGATAAATATGTAAATAGGTAAATAAATAAACAAAGGATAAATATGTAAATAGGTAAATAAATAAACAAAGGATAAATATGTAAATAGGTAAATAAATAAACAAAGGATAAATATGTAAATAGGTAAATAAATAAACAAAGGATAAATATGTAAATA